TGCTCTATTTTTTTGTTTTCTGAAGCAACTCGGAGCATGTTTCATACTCGTTATCCTGGTTAATGCACGTACCAATTTCGGTACCACAGCAAAACACAAAAACTAGCTACTTGAACTTAGGGCTAGACAATAATTCAATATTAATATGTATCGCGATATAAATTTTTTCAGTAACGGTGATATGATTTTTAAACACATTTCCGATATTTCGATATACATTACCAGTGTTTCCCATACATTGATTTATTTGCCAAGAATAACAACTAAGTTAGCTAAAAAAACAAAAAAGCCCAGAACTGCTTTTCTGACTGATATGACACAAACAATGTTAGCCATTTGTACATTCTCTAACACACATATTTTAGATTCACAATTAATTTAAAGCCTCTGGCGTGTAATAAAAAAACAAAAAAGCCCAGAACTGCTTTTCTGACTGATATGACACAAACAATGTTAGCCATTTGTACATTCTCTAACACACATATTTTAGATTCACAATTAATTTAAAGCCTCTGGTGTGTAAAAATAGTCAATATCATCAAGTCCTCCTGTTTTTTAACCCTAATAAAAGTTATAGGAGCATTAAATAGTTAATAAAGAAACTAATTCTAATGCTCATTATATTAGCGTTAGTCGCGTTTATGCTAACGATTAACTACTCCAATAACAGCGATGTTCATTTCAATCCGACATTCAAATAAAAATATTGAATAATATTCATAACAGAAGCTGTGTTTCCCCACAGACTTGCACTCTATTTGTGGCAGCATACATATGCAAATTCATTCTCTGCCAGCAGGAGGCACTTGTAGAGCGGGATAGATAGAGGTTTCCCGATAATGGCTGTAATCAAATAAGAGCTGCGCTCACAAACGCTGCTCAGGCCTTACAGGCAAGATGAAATGAAAATGACATCCATAATTTTCTGAAGACAGTCGGTTTCCTTCAGAAATACAGTGATATAAAAACACCCTCACCGGGTTTCGACTTTGACACGTGCAGTGCTCATGTTTATTCAACAAAGTCAAAACCTTTTGTAAAATCTATTTGTGGCGGTGAGTTTTGATATTGTGGCGCGGGCCGCCACAAATAAATCAATGTATGGGAAACACTGAGAAGATCTAAATATAAAACTCAGTTTAGTTCAGTTTGCAGCTGCACAAACAGTTCTTCTGAAATGTCCCCCTTTTGAAGTATTGATTCCGTTTGTTCAAATGGAATAAACTGATTTGTAAGCCTCATTGAATCCGTTTTTGAAACTGATTAAATAATATATTTTTGACATTTTTGTAGCAAAATGTTACATGCTCTAAGTGTTTTAAGGTATTGCCTTCTAAATTGATTTAGTGTAGTTTGCTACTATTTGCTATTAGTTTGTAATGTATCTAACTACTCTGATGTGGTGTTAAATATGATATTATGAGTTGCTGTATGGAGGGTTTCAGGACCCAGAAGAAATGTGAGAGGCAACCACACTTTCAGTTTAGTTCAGTTTGCAGCTGCACAAACAGTTCTTCTGAAATGTCCCCTTTTTGAAGTATTGATTCTGTTTGTTCAAATGGAATAAACTGATTTGTAAGCCTCATTGAATCCGTTTTTGAAACTGATTAAATAATATATTTTTGACATTTTTGTAGCAAAATGTTACATGCTCTAAGTGTTTTAAGGTATTGCCTTCTAAATTGATTTAGTGTAGTTTGCTACTATTTGCTATTAGTTTGTAATGTATCTAACTACTCTGATGTGGTGTTAAATATGATATTATGAGTTGCTGTATGGAGGGTTTCAGGACCCAGAAGAAATGTGAGAGGCAACCACACTCATCTTCCTTTAAAGAGGCCCTTTACTTTCCCTTTTGTTTCACATTTTAGCAGTAGAAGAAAGTGCAATCTGCCTGCAAAACATGTTTTTGAATCTTTTTTTCTTCAGAGTCTCAAAGCATGTTTTTGTTTTTTCTATATTTAATTTAGATTTCAGTGTGCAATATTTTGTAGGGCTTATTTAATCAGAATCAGAATCAGAATGAGCTTTATTGCCAGGTATGTTTACACATACGAGGAATTTGTTTTCGTGACAGAAGCTTCCACAGTGTAACAGAATGACAGTGACAGAACAAAAAACACAGATAATAAAAATAAAAATAGTAAATAAGAATAAGGAATAAAAATATATAAATTGACAATTGTGTGTGCAGGTATATTACAATAGACAGTTTTTTTTGTATGTACAGGTACTGTATATTATGTGCAAATTTGAGGTGTAGGCTGAGTATGAGTTCAGTTTGCAGCTGCACAAACAGTTCTTCTGAAATGTCCCCCTTTTGAAGTATTGATTCCGTTTGTTCAAATGGAATAAACTGATTTGTAAGCCTCATTGAATCCGTTTTTGAAACTGATTAAATAATATATTTTTGACATTTTTGTAGCAAAATGTTACATGCTCTAAGTGTTTTAAGGTATTGCCTTCTAAATTGATTTAGTGTAGTTTGCTACTATTTGCTATTAGTTTGTAATGTATCTAACTACTCTGATGTGGTGTTAAATATGATATTATGAGTTGCTGTATGGAGGGTTTCAGGACCCAGAAGAAATGTGAGAGGCAACCACACTCATCTTCCTTTAAAGAGGCCCTTTACTTTCCCTTTTGTTTCACATTTTAGCAGTAGAAGAAAGTGCAATCTGCCTGCAAAACATGTTTTTGAATCTTTTTTTCTTCAGAGTCTCAAAGCATGTTTTTGTTTTTTCTATATTTAATTTAGATTTCAGTGTGCAATATTTTGTAGGGCTTATTTAATCAGAATCAGAATCAGAATGAGCTTTATTGCCAGGTATGTTTACACATACGAGGAATTTGTTTTCGTGACAGAAGCTTCCACAGTGTAACAGAATGACAGTGACAGAACAAAAAACACAGATAATAAAAATAAAAATAGTAAATAAGTAATAAAAATATATAAATTGACAATTGTGTGTGCAGGTATATAAACCCATAGGTCTAGCCGGGAGACTTCTTGGCATCACTGCTTATTTCCTTGTTTATTTGAGATTTTGCAGCTCAACCTTTTGTGACATTTCAGCAGCATGAAAAATAGAAAGTTTAGCCTGGCACAGTTTAAGTCCTTCATGTTAATCTGTACCAAACAAGCTTTCCATAGAAAAATGTGAGAATATTAGGCATCTGCAGTAGGGGTTGACCGATATGTGTTTTTCAAGGCCGATACCTTTTATTACAGATCAAGTAGACCGATAACCGATATTTTGAACCTATATATATGTCTGGTGTAAAAATGAAAATTAATGTCAAAATTAAGAATAACAAGGGCTCTGAAAAAAACTGCCTTCCCTGGTGTTGGTTGAGTGTAGTACTCCCACAGTAATTACATGATTTAAATAACTGCAATTATACCTAAAAATGAAACTGAAATCACCAGCAGATTGCGGCAAATCACGGATTTTATCATCATTCATTCAATTGATTTGTTTGAACGGCTCATTCATTCAGGAATGAAGCAAGTGACTGTCTTTATGAATGGGTAATCATGAATCACTGACTCACTAGATTCGTTCAAAAACGCACTCATTCATAAATGAAACACCGCTGTGTTTGCTTTTAGAGATGTGAAGCGGCTGAGCTGTTACTTTATTTGGAACTATTTTCGTTGATAAAATAGAGCAAAATCAGGCAGTACTTGTTCATTGAACTGTTGTATTAACAATTGACGGAAATCCGTCGTAGCGACGGAAAACTTTCATCCCGGAGTAGTATTTACATCATACTGCACCACAGTAATCTATTTCTGATCATTTCTTTAAGCTAACCCGAACTTATATTTTGACGGGTTGCCATGAGGAACTTCTGTAGGTCTATGTAAATTATATGAAGATAGTTTTACTCCAATGAAACTGTCAAACGCTCATGAAGTGACTCTTAGAGCGAGTCAGAGCAGTTCTGGAGATGTTGTTCATGTATTTATGTCCTCATATGCTGAAATCAGCGCGAGCGTCGCACACTTTGTATGTGTAGAAAACAACACCGCGCGTCTGTGCCATTTACATACACAGAGACACACAGAACATGCAAGATTCATATTTAAATAGTATTTTGCAGCTTAATATTTACAGATACTAATCCATATTGCGACTCTATTTAAGTGTACTGACCTACTTTTGATTAATTCATCCAAACTTTGACAAATTCCGTGACATTCCGCGTCATACAGTAAATTCCATTTATATGACTATTGCGTCCACGTTTTCCGCATCACGGAAATCATAGATAATATTGAGGTGTTTTGCAACTTCAGTGTAACGTTAGTGGATTGGGATCTATTTGCAGGACGCATTTGCTGTAGCACACACCGGAAGCGTTCACTTGGATGAGAGCGCAAAAACACAGCACAAAAATGAATGAAACAGATCGACAGGCTCTATAAAAGTAACTGTTCAAAAACACGGCGCATTAAAAATGTGAAGCCGAGTGCCAGTCAGGGTCGCGATGAAAATAGTGTGTGCGTTTAAGATTATTAGGGTAATCTGCAGGAAGCGCATAAAGACAATCAAGTGTGAGATTATCAGTGCGTCTTCAGTCATGTATTCACTCAGATAAAGACCGTAATTTCCTTGAATTTCCAATTGAATTTCTAATGTTGTTAAGAATATATATATTTGAGAACTTAAGAGTTTTTCAAGAATTGCACTTAAGAACATTCTTACGAACTTCGTGGAATTGATCTTAAGACATTTCTTAATTTATTTAATGTTCATGAATCTGGCCCATTATTATGCTCACTAAAGCAATAGAACTTCATTAAAATTTTATGTCTGGATCAAGTTAAAAAGGGGGGAAAAAAACGAAATGTATCTTTTCATAGCTGCACAGGAGTTGTTAAACCAAAGGCAATATAGGCCAATAGATATTGTTCACCAGCTTAGCTTTGTAAATGACTTGGTTGTGCTCTAATGCAACAGATGTTTTTTTATTTAATTTTTTTATAAATGCAGGGCCATCAGTCGTCAGGTGAAGACATGGAGATTTCCGATGATGAGATGCCTGGCACACCGATCGCTAGCGGGGACTGTGCCAAAAACATTGTGGTCAACTCTGCGATGTCTCCGATGCAGACCATTCCCATGCCCCCACCAGGGTTCCCCCCACTGCCCCATCCACAGGATATCGGCGGCGATAATCGGCCAGGCCGATAATCGGTCGACCTCTAATCTGCAGTAAGGACATAAATGTTCAGTGCCTAATGAGGCTTCCTCTTGTAAATATACTTGTTTGCATTACAGCCCCTAGCTCTGTATGGCAAACCCATGAAATATGATCCTACTGTGAATGCCGCCTATGTGCAACACACTTTCACTTCCTCTTACACGTAGTTCAACTCAAGAAACAATGAACAGCCATTAGCTCATTTTGTGCTTTACTTCCTGCTAGAAAGCTGGACCATCAGGATACTGCTGTTCTTTCTGAATTTCCAAAACCATCGTTTAACAAGGGCTGTGTCATATCTGAAAGTTTTTGGATTCCTACATTCAAGCTACTTACAATGATTGTTTCTAGAGAATATCATTACTATTGCTTAGGGTTAGTTTAGTTAGGGTCATTTTTAGTTTAACACAAACATTTTTATTCTGGTGCATAATTAGCCCCGTATCATTTGTGCTGAAAACAAGTCATGCAGTTTGTTGAGCAGAGGTATGATAATATTTTTCTAGGTGATCTGATTTATGATCCCAATCCTATTGGAAAGGGACCCCACATGCACTGGCGAGTTTTGCACACTAGTTTTAAGATCTTTTAACAATTATTTAACTAATTATTGGAAAACAAACATTTTAATTTGTGCTACTTTTGCTTTATTAAAAATACAGCATGTTTCTCACAGTGTTGTAACTATTAAAATTGGTAAATTACTGAAATAAAGCTCAAGTAAATAAAATAACCAAAATTTAAAAGAACATAAATGAAAATTAGAAATGTTGCCTTTGCAAATAAATGTTATTTTACAAAAACTAGAATCATTAAAGATAAGAAATTAAATTGAAATAAATAAAATTCTAAAAGCACTTGATAATAAATGATAAAAGCACAAAATTACCAAAATAAAAAATATAATTAAAAAATAAATGCTATTTCAAAACATTAATAAATATGTGAATAATAGTAAAATAACATGGTGTAACTTAATTAATCAAATACTCATTGGGCCGGATTTACGAAACTTTCTTAAGTAGAAATTTCTTCTTAACTGCCATTTTCTTATTATTTCCTAACTTAAGAAAAAAGTTAAGAATATTTTGTATTCCCAAAAATTCTTCTTAATCTTTTTTCGTAAGATTGTTCTTAAGACAAAACTTAAGAAGAATTCAAATTCTTGAAAATAATCTTCTTAGAAATCATTGTAAATAACTTCTTAAAGTTAGAATAGCCCCAGACTTGTCTTAAATCCCAAATAGTAAGAATTATTTAATGAATTTATTGGGTTATTTCAAATTAATTATTAAATTTAAGCATTACAACAACAATAGCTACATATAATACATAGTAGGACTATTAATAGTGATGAATGGGAAAATGGTAATGTATATCGAAATATCGGAAATGTGTTTAAAAATCATATCACCGTTAATGAAAAAAATTATATCGCGATACATATTGATATTGAATTATTGTCCAGCCCTAAGCCTAACATAAACATGCCTTTTTAGGATATGGAGGACAAGGAAGATGATGAAAAGAAAAGCGAATCAGACTCCAGTGAGAGTGAATCATCGGACTCATCGGATGACGGTAATGGCAAAAGTTGGATGAATATTGTGCCCTTGTGGTCACTGTAATTGACCGGAGGTAATGACCTTTACTTTTTTGCCCCCTCAGAATCTTCTAGCTCATCTTCCTCTTCCAAATCTGATTCTGATTCTTCTGGGAGCGAGAGCTCGTCTGACTACGAATCAAGTTCAGGGGAGGAAGAGGAGGAAGAAGAGCAGGCAGTGGCAATGGAGGATGAAGATGAAAATGAAAATGATGCACAAACCTCATCGACGTCCTCATCTTCCTCATCCTCATCTTCTGAAGCGGAGGATGTTGACATAAAAGCTCCTAGTACCCCCACAGGACCACCACCAGAAGAGGAACCAAATGAGTTGGGCAGGCTGGAAGCATTAGATGAGGTAGAAATCGATCCCAAACATACTGCAGTGAGCTCAATCAAGCCTGGAGTCGATTCTTCTGGGAGCGAGAGCTCGTCTGACTACGAATCAAGTTCAGGGGAGGAAGAGGAGGAAGAAGAAGAGCAGGCAGTGGCAATGGAGGATGAAGATGAAAATGAAAATGATGCACAAACCTCATCGACGTCCTCATCTTCCTCATCCTCATCTTCTGAAGCGGAGGATGTTGACATAAAAGCTCCTAGTACCCCCACAGGACCACCACCAGAAGAGGAACCAAATGAGTTGGGCAGGCTGGAAGCATTAGATGAGGTAGAAATCGATCCCAAACATACTGCAGTGAGCTCAATCAAGCCTGGAGTTGAAGACGTGTGGCCTCCATCTTCCAAAGGATTGCCAGGTCAGAGCCTTGATTGTTGTTTAGCTTGATGTTCATGTAGCAGTTGTGTATTCTGTGTTGAAGTCAGATCCTGATTGGTTGTCGTCTCTTTTCAGCTGATGAACCCGATATTGATTTGGCGGTCAGTATTCCAGTGCCCAAAGCTGAAGCTATCCTGGAGGATGTTAGTAGCTTGAGGCCACCCACCCCAACAGGTTCGTTTGCAGATACTGATCAGGACACCCGACCAAAGATCCCTGCTGAAGACTTTCCCCGTACCCCCGGTCGTGATGGCCCGGTTCCCCTAGAATCAGAGGCTGCAATCCCTCGTTCTCTTCCTATGCCCTCAATGCACCTTCCTCTTCCCCCCAGTCATGCCCTTAAAACTCGATCCCTTCTGCCGCCTCCCGAAGCTTTGCCGGATATGCCTATCCGTGGGCGGATGCCTACGGAAGAGGACATCCCACGCACACCGGGGAGAGATCTTATGGACAGACCCCGGGGTTTGGGCAAGTCTCAGAGCACTGATACGGTTCCTGGCACACCAGGTAGCGACACGCCGCTAACAGGTAACAGCTTAAGCTCGCCACATATTCCCGGCAGCCCTTTCTCTTACCCCGCTCAATCCCCTGTCCTCAGCGCTGGTATCCCTCGGACTCCGGGTAGAGATCTTACTTTCACCCCAGCTTTCCCTGAGTCTGCTGCTTTATCTGCAGGCCTTCCCATGCACAGGAAGGCCTCGTCTGAGAGCTTGGAGGAGAAGTCTCTCTTTAAAGAGCCTCTACTCAGCGCCTCTCCCCAGGCCAGCCTACAGCCTAACAATGCAGGTTCTTCCCCATTCCCTGGTCCTCCCCTTCCTGCTGCTTCACATCAGGAACCACCTCTGCCTCCCCAAGGCTCCTCTCCCACTTCTGTTGAGACTTCCTCTCCTGCTGCTCCAAAAGACCTTCCTGTTCCAATGATAGATGTTCCTGTGCCCTTAGATACTACTCCAAGCAAAAGGAAACCAGGACGCCCCAAGTCTAAAAAGGTACCTGTAGAGACCCCTCCAGATTCTGAAGAGCCTCCAGCTCCAATGGTGGCCTCATCACCTCCAGATCTACCAGTAAATGATCTGTACCCAGACCACCCTTCAGAGACCTTCAAAAGAGAAGATGGTGACTCAACAGTATTGGAGGAAGAGGAAAACCAAACCCAGTGGCGGTAATGCACTTATAAGTCTGCGATCCGCCATAAATGGGATAAGGAGGAGACGACGCCACATGCGCCGGCTGTTGAGAACGCGCTCAGGACAGTTCGGACATTGTGGTGAATCAGAGGTAAAAAAACGATACAAATACTGTTCAGTTTCTTGCATAGACCGATCATTTTGTGTCTTTACGCATCAATGTATCATCACGAGCCGCAGGGTTTAATTTGGTTTTGTTTGTGTATGTTTTTTTTTTACTCTCAAAGCCATGATTCCTATTCACTTCCATTATGTGACTGACAGACTGCAACGGTTTAAATTAAAAATCTTCGTTTGTGTTCTACTGAAGAAACAAAGTCACCTACATCTTGAATGCCCTGGGGGTAAGCAGATAAACATCAAATTAAAATTTTTGGGTGAACTATCCCTTTAAGTGTAAAATCCTATTAAAGTGGCTGTTGGTAACATCTGCGTCCCTAGTGGGAGCAAATGGAATTCAATAAATTAAAAAAAAGATTTGGGGGAGTGTTTGGCGAAGTCATTTAGTTCCTTTTACTAAATGACTTCCCCTAGTGGGTTCAAACGGAATAGCGGAAGTGTATTGCTGTTCATCGGTTGATGTTGAAAAATGTAATTTTCTACATATCAATTAGAACCCCAGTATTCACATTTTTGGGATTCTCTTGCTTGTTGACAGTATTGTTATAACAAAATAATTACGTCCACTAAAATTAATTGCTAGTATTTGCAGATCTGTTATGTGGAGATCTATCTGTTCATGTAAAGAAAGACTCCTTGACTCCTCTGAACCTACCAACATGGGCAACACATCAGGGCTGAAGAAGAAGCGAAAAGAGGACGGTATACGCGACCATGTCACCGGCTGCGCCCGCAGCGAGGGCTACTACAAAATTGACAAGAAAGACAAAATGAAGTACCTAAATAGCTCACGCCTGCAGTCCGAAGAGCCTGATGTGGACACTCAGGTGGGCCGCAGTGATAAAATACTGGAGTTTACTCACAGTCGATACTTCATTAAGCTGAATTGCTGAAGGTCCTGATGTTGATTGTGTTTGTGTGTGATTTCTCACAGGGGAAGAGTATTCCAGCTCAGCCCCAAGCATCCACTAGGGCAGGTTCAGAGCGGCGGTCTGAACAGCGCCGCCTGCTGTCGTCCTTCAGCTGCGACAGTGACCTCCTCAAATTCAACCAGCTCAAGGTAGGACAAGCGAAACCCAGCTATTTATATCTTGTTCAACGTCACCAATCAAAATATGAGCCAAGGCCAAATCTAACGAGTCACAAATTCTCCACAGTTCCGTAAAAAGAAGATCCGGTTCTGTAAAAGTCACATTCATGACTGGGGATTGTTCGCCATGGAACCTATTGCTGCTGATGAGATGGTAATCGAATATGTCGGCCAGAATATCCGACAGGTGAGCGTGAAGCCAACCAAACTTTCAGCGCTCCTGCTTGTTGGCTAGTCTGTTCATAACTGTCTCGTCTCCATCTGCAGGTTATCGCAGACATGCGAGAGAAGCGCTACGAGGATAAAGGCATCGGCAGTAGCTACATGTTCCGTGTGGATCACGATACCATTATAGACGCAACCAAATGTGGCAACTTTGCCCGCTTCATCAATCACAGTTGCAATGTGAGTTTGCTTGTTCGTTGTCTTAACAAAAGGTCATTTTGAAGTCGAAAACCATATTGATCATGTTCTTCTTTGTGTTTTGCAGCCAAACTGTTATGCCAAGGTCATCACTGTGGAATCGCAGAAAAAGATCGTCATCTACTCCCGGCAGCCAATAAATGTTAATGAGGAGATCACCTACGACTACAAGTTCCCCATCGAGGACGAAAAGATACCGTGCCTCTGTGGCGCAGAGAACTGCAGGGGAACCTTAAACTAACCCCAACGAGTAGGTGAGAACTTTCTTAAAAACATGCACTGCCCAACAACAAGCCCAGACGCCCCGTCTTCTGGATCTACAGAGGAAATAGTGGGTGAAATCCAACACATCCACTGGATATATCGTGCAGCTAAGTGTCTGGGACTTCGTTTTTTGTACTTTTTTTATGATTGTTTACAAATTACAGGTGCTCTTTCAAGCATAAAAAATGAGTTTTCTACCACTCTTCCATTGACTTCTATGGAACTGGACTTATTTCCCCCCTAAAAGTTTGGGCACTCACTTTGTCGTCTGCCCATTTGACACAGTTTGTCTTTGCCGTGGAGTCCCCTTTTCCTCTGCGGTTTGGTTATGGAGAGACCTCCCCGTCCTTGAACTCGGACCTGAAACACTTTAAGCTGCTCACATCTGTCCCACATGCACAAAATTCAGTTTTAAAAAAGCTTTGTTCAGGTTTTTTGTCCTTGTCCTTCCAGCCCGACTTGTATGAAGTTTAGTTTATTGTCGGACTTCACTGTAACAAGCCCACAAGGTTTAGCATTCATCGTGACACTAACCATTGTTGGGGGAATTGGGTCAGTTGTCTTCATTTTGCAGAACATTCAACAAAAGCACACCTGTGCCGGCCACAAGACAAATCAGTAGAAAAGATCCACAGCTCAGGCAAATTTACACAAAGCGAAACGCTCCTACGGTATTTCAGCCAGCGCTGCATGTGGCACCTACAGACTGGACCTTTTTTAAAGGATCAAAACCAAAACCAACAATACACTACACTTTATTCTTTCATTTATTCAAGCCATTTTTACAACAGTCTCTGTGAATATTGGATTTGAGCATGTCTGCTGCCCTCTAGCTTTTGTAAGGTGTAAAGGCAGAAAGCTGCTTGTTTTCAATCAGATTCCACTTTAAAGCTGTACAGCTTAGTATTAACTCTGCGTTTGTCATGTCAGCTCACTATTTCAGCAGATGAACATGCAGAGGTCCAATTGGCTTCATGCATATTCAGTCACTAGTGCTGAATTTTCTATTACGGAGCGGATCTCACCAATATGATGCTGCTATTCTGCAAACGTATGTCCCGAATTTTCTCCACCAGTTCACTTTAAGAAGCAAAATCCACCTGTACTGGTTTCAGCATGGGTTTTCATAGTATTAGGAGTTCTCTGTGAGTGCGGTAACTGGGGCACAGCACTGATGCTTTTCAAAAAGCTTGTCTAGGCACCAATTCCACTAATAAATCTAATCTAAGTAGATGCACCAATGTTTAGGATATCAGACCCTGGAGTATTAGGTCCGTCGACCTGAAAACGTCAGCAGTGGACCCAGAAAATCAAGTACAAGTCGAATGCAGTGCCAAATTTGTACTTTAATGTGTCACAACTCCAAAGGCAAACCTTCTTCCATTTTGTCTCCTCCTATGTGTGTGTGTTTGTACGAATGACTTAAGTTCACTGGTACTTTGGGCGACCCTTTTGAGGTCCTTCTGCATTTTGCTCAGTATTTAATCATCAAAAAGTTTGAAAAGCTATTACAGCCTCATTCAGCCAAATTTCCCTTTGAAAGCAGAAGACTTTCTGATCTGCAAGGCAGCCTGGTCACTTGCTTTTCTTTGTGATTTGGTTATGTTTATAAATGCACTAGAGGCTTCCAACCCCCATCAAGCCAAATGGCACTCACAAGACCAAGCTATGAAACGTGTCCTTTACATTAGTTCACTCACAGGGTAAGGTCTCCCAGCTTTTTGTTGGTTTTCTTTTTAAATGTCTATATTGTACAGGATAATAATGGTTTGTATAGAGGAACGAGGCTTTTTTAATCACGATGGGGAGTGATGATGCATCATTCTGCTTTTATAAGCGACAAATGGAGTATTTAAAAGGAATATTTTTCAGGAATCATTATATGAAAAAGGGGTTGAATAGCTAATTTAAAGAAAATGATACATCTTGTACATAAAACAGATTTGTACTTCCTTTTGAAAGATTGTTTCTTGTAGAAACGTCTTTTTTTTCCTGCCCATTTTCCTTTGGATTCTTATGTGTAAATACTTTAACTGTGAATATATAAATATAAATATATATATTTTTGTTCCTGAGGATTTGCTACAGCGTCACGGCTCAGAAAGGTCTATCTGACAGTGAGTACAGAGAGCTGCTGGCAGTATTTTCAGCTTGTGTCAAGCTTTATTTTTTATTTTTGGTTGTAAATTCTATGAAAATCTGTTTGCAGTGTGGGAGAAAAGCATTATCATTCAGAAATGCAAGGAACATTGGCGAAATCGACCTTTAGGCCCTGTCTATTTATTATACCACAAATGTATGGAAAAAAGATCATGGAAAAATAAAGGATTTTTTTTTCAACTGCCTTGTCTTGGAACTAATCTTTTAATCATGTCTCACATTTATGTAAAGTTTATTAATCTGAATGTTTTTGCCAGATGAGTTCCTGCGTACAGAGTTAGCAGGAGCAGGATTTCGAATGTGAGTTTCATTACGATTAATAACTTCACATATTTTTGTCAGTAGGAGGTCTAAAGCACACTGGGGTCTCATCTGCCCTACATATTGCCTTACATTACACATAGTTCTATTCATATGTTTACCCTTTACTATTAGTAAAGACTTTCAGCTATCGTTTGTAAGATTCAGCTATTATTTGTAATGCATTTAGTTTCTATTTGCATGGTTCAAAGGAAAAAAGAAAGAAAGAAAAAAGAAAATTCCGTCATCAGTTGAACAAAAACATAAACGGATTCCTTGACAATTAATTGTTAGTATATTTATTACTATATATATATATATATATATATATATACACATACTTCGGGTAAAATAAGTATTGAACACGTCACCATTTTTCTCAGTAAATATATTTTTAAAGATGCTGTTGATATGCAATTTTCACCAGACGTCAGTAACAACCCAAGTAATCCATACATACAAAGAAAACAATACAAATACGTTCAGAAATTACGTGTAATAAAATGGAGTAACACAGGGAAAAAGTATTGAACTACTGAAATGTATTTAATACTTTGTACAAAAGCCTGTTGTTGGTAATGACAGCTTCAAGACGCCTCCTCGTATGCATTGCTCAGGTGTGATTTTGGCCTATTCTTCCACAGAGTCTTCAAATCTTGAAGGTTCTGTGGGCCTCTTCTATGAACTCTGATCTTTAGTTCTTATTTTCTATTGGATTCAAGTCAGGTGATTGGCTGGGCCATTCTAGCAGCTTTATTTTCTTTTTCTGAGTTTCCTTGGCTTTCCATTCCATTTTATTACACATAACTTCATTTCTGAACTTATTTGTATTGTTTTGTATTGGTCGTTACAGACATCTGGTGAAAATTTCAAGTCAACAACACCTTTAGAAATATATTTACTGAGAAAAATGGTGACGTGTTCAATACTTATTTTACCCGAAGTATGTGTATATATATATATATATATATATATATAGTAATAAATATACTAACAATTAATTGTCAAGGAATCCGTTTATGTTTTTGTTCAACTGATGACGGAATTTTCTTTTTTCTTTCTTTCTTTTTTCCTTTGAACCATGCAAATAGAAACTAAATGCATTACAAATAATAGCTGAATCTTACAAACGATAGCTGAAAGTCTTTACTAATAGTAAAGGGTAAACATATGAATAGAACTATGTGTAATGTAAGGCAATATGTAGGGCAGATGAGACCCCAGTGTGCTTTAGACCTCCTACTGACAAAAATATGTGAAGTTATTAATCGTAATGAAACTCACATTCGAAATCCTGCTCCTGCTAACTCTGTACGCAGGAACTCATCTGGCAAAAACATTCAGATTAATAAACTTTACATAAATGTGAGACATGATTAAAAGATTAGTTTATATATATATATACACATACTTCGGGTAAAATAAGTATTGAACACGTCACCATTTTTCTCAGTAAATATATTTTTAAAGATGCTGTTGATATGCAATTTTCACCAGACGTCAGTAACAACCCAAGTAATCCATACATACAAAGAAAACAATACAAATACGTTCAGAAATTACGTGTAATAAAATGGAGTAACACAGGGAAAAAGTATTGAACTACTGAAATGCATTTAATACTTTGTACAAAAGCCTGTTGTTGGTAATGACAGCTTCAAGACGCCTCCTCGTATGCATTGCTCAGGTGTGATTTTGGCCTATTCTTCCACAGAGTCTTCAAATCTTGAAGGTTCTGTGGGCCTCTTCTATGAACTCTGATCTTTAGTTCTTATTTTCTATTGGATTCAAGTCAGGTGATTGGCTGGGCCATTCTAGCAGCTTTATTTTCTTTTTCTGAGTTTCCTTGGCTTTCCATTCCATTTTATTACACATAACTTCATTTCTGAACTTATTTGTATTGTTTTGTATTGGTCGTTACAGACATCTGGTGAAAATTTCAAGTCAACAACACCTTTAGAAATATATTTACTGAGAAAAATGGTGACGTGTTCAATACTTATTTTACCCGCTGTATATATAAGTACTATAAGTATTTTTAATATTTACATAATATTTACAATTTACATTTTTCATCGTTTTTCAATATAGCAATATAGTGCAGATTTAAAAATTGACATTTCAAGTACATTTTCTGTCATACTTGCAGGAATGTAATATAAAACAACAATGCAGGAACAACCATAGGTTTTCTCTGGGCAAAAACATTGTGCCAGTGTGGATAGAAAGGCCAAAACAGTGAGAAAAAGATGCATTTTCAAATTTATCTAGATTAATAATATGGATGTAGCCAAATATTTACATTAATAAATCTGATGACACTACTCACTCCTGTTACTTTTACTCAGTTACTATATATAAGTATAGGATATATGAGTAACAGGATTGAGATTTTAGGATAAAATTAGCAAATACTTATAATCTAGCCACATGAGTACATGCTAATATTATGAGAATACTCTGCAAATTATAATGATTCACCAAAGATTTGTATTTTTAAAATAAACAAGTAACATCTAAGAAATAATTTAAGTAACAGGACAGTATATTTATAATGATGTTCCCAGCCACCGTTACAATATCATCAAATATACAGAAAAGAAAATAAGACCACTTGCTTTCGGTCATTTCATTTCAAGATCCAGTTGTTGTAATATTATGTGTCTTCTGGAATTTTCCCAGTTTTTTAGAGGGGGGAATGTGTTAGGGTAACGGGGCTGAGTGAAAACCTGGGGACATGACTAAAATGTTTATTTTATCCAAAATATTATACATTTATTTTGAAATAAATGTATTTAAAGCACAGATGGGATATGGCGGTACACAAAAATGCAAAATAAAAGTGATCTCTGAAGGATTTTAAACATATTTCATGTTAAAATGTAGCGTTAGACACTGGGGACATGTACAAATGCTATATTTTCAGTGTTTTAGGTCGTTTTTAATATTTTTTTTGTTATATATTGTAAATTTGCAGTTAGGTTAATGTGCAGGACATTTTGATTAATAATAAAATGCATTTTATAGTTAATTTGTCATGCATGTTTGTACCTATAATGTCCTGGGGACAGAAATGAGAAGAAATAGTGACTGTTCTGTCAGTGAGCAGCAGGGAATGACCTCACTGGCCAGATTAGCAAACCTAGTAACCTCAAAAGAGACAGAAACAAGGGCTCTTTGTGTGAGTGAGCAGTGCCCCCAGTGTCAGTAACAGGACGTGAAGGGTATGAGCACTACAACAACACGCTTGTGTGTCTGTGTGAGCCCGTCAACATAGACAAAACACACCGATAACAATGTCATTTTATTTCAACACTTTATCATTTGTAAAATAACACTTTGCACTTGAGTCAAACTATTGATAGCTGTGCTATTGTATATACATCAAATAGTTTGTCTCCTGAGGTAAGTTTGTATTTTTCACAGAATAACTTCATTGGTTCGTCAAGTTTGGTATATCTACATAGGTGTACGTTCTTTTCCAAGGTCATAAACTCCCCTTAAACTTTATTCAATTTTATCTTTCTAATGTACGGTATCATTCCCACTAAGTGGCCTTTGTGTATGACTGAGGAAAAGGCTTTGAGTGATCAAGTTCAGTATGAATGAGGGGAGAATGAGGGGAAATACGTAAATGGGGATACCCACTAAGGAAAATCACTCATCCGATAGCAGTCTGGTTGAAAAACTCAATGGGGTTTTTGTAGATGTGTGATCAAACTCGCAACTACAGTTTGTTTCTACATACAAATAATTAACACAATTGTTCTTGGCGAATTACAATGGATTATAATTCCATTTAACGATAGTATAATTCCAGAGACCGATAGTGACAGAGGAACGTTATCGTTGGAATGCCGGAACGATTTATTTTCCGGCTGATGAACGATAGATAGAATGACATCCAATCAGAATCCACCTTGTGCATTTAAAGCGGCAGACGACATAATATAACTTTATCGTGCGTTGGTGTGAATGCTGTTATCGGTCTTGGTGTGAAACATAGACTGCATAAAAACATGGACATAGTGTCCGTAGGTTTCTGAAAAGTGTTTTTGAAGCTCAAAGTGGGCGGAGCGGGCCGTCGCCATCTTGGCAGCGCGTCACTCCCGGATAATTGAAAATGGGCAAAGAGGCGGGAGCTGGTTGCTGAAACCACGCCCACCTAGCTCGACAGCAGCGGCAATCCACCTGTCACTCAAGTGGCCACACCCTTAATTATACAGAACTTTAAGGCTTAATATAATTTAAACGGATGAGTTATAAAAAAAATCACCCCCCCTCACAGTTGTCATGAAGGACAAAATTAGCTATATAGACCAAAACCACTTTTTGTACCAGGCTGTAAACACATTTTTTTCTGCTGTAAAGTTGGCCATTTTAACATGGCAGGTCTATGGGACTGACTCCCTTTTGCAGCCGGTCTCTAGCGGCCAGTCGATGAATTGAAGTTTTAGTCACTTCCGTGTTGGTTTCATGAGAGAGACCGGAAGGTTGCCGCTTGGTGTGAACGGGCCTTATAGATAACTAATAATTATACGGTTATAATAGTCGTTCAAATTCGATGAGAATTGTCCACACCGCAGTGATAACTTTAATGACACAACAAGGATATGGTTGCTACTCTTTCGTTTTTTTTTCTAGTTGAAGCATAAAATTATTGACAGCCAATCAGAATCCGTCGTCTTTAAACAGCCACAGCGTTTAAAGTGACAGACACATTACTGCAGGGTGCTTATAATAAAGAGAACGTTATCATTTTTGTTGTGAACGGCTCTTTAGACTGGCTATTAGTGGCTACCAGCAGTGATGCTGTCTGAGTAGTTTTTGACACAATATTTGAAGTAGGCGTTTAATACTGTCGTTCTGCAATATGCAA